CCCGCCACAATGCCCAGCTATTTTGTTGTTGTTGTTGTTATTGTTGTTGCAGTTGTCATTGTTGGTTTGCTGGCTTGGGCCAGGTAACCTAAACTATGGGCACTACCCCATCTTGAAAATATCTTAATAATTCTTTTCTGGATTCTGGAGGAGACACTGGGAATCTGTGATAAACAGGCAATCTAGAATGCTGAGATGTTCTGTATTGGAGACAGAATGAAAAGGACAAAGATATACTTAAACAAAATGTGCTATAACTCCAATTTATTTTTCTAACCTATGGCTTCCCTACCTACACACATGGACTTTTCAATCATCTTTTAATCAGCCTCTATCTAAGCCAATGTTTTCATCTCATTCCTGACACACAATGAGCATTTCTTTTTTATTCTACATACATAAAACACTTCCCTCAACCTCTTCAACCATTTGAATCTTCTTTCTTTATGTGACTATTCAGGTCTTTCCCCTAAGGAGACTTTCCAAGTTAATTCAGCCCTAAAACTCTAGTGCATTGGTTTTTTGTGCATGTAACTATATTGTATCTTATAATTGTACTTTTCTTAGGTACAGAGCTAGTCTGGCTCCTAGGCAGTGAGCTCCTTAAAAGTGGAAATGTGAATCTCAGACAACTTTGTGTCCCCAAAGTGCTATGTATATTAGGCATTCAAAATCAGTATTTGTTTATTTCAGTATTTGTCTATTTGCTGAACATTTATGACATGTCAGAGACCATCTTACACTATAGGAAGCAAACATAAATCAGATATAATCCTTGCCCTTAAGGGGAACTCACAGTTTAGCCAGGAAGAGACACAAGGAATGACTTGATTGCAACAGAGTGTGAGGCTTATATTGCAGATAAGTTCAGGATGCTATGGAAACAAAGAGGAAAAAGGACACTTAACCCAGACCGAAAAGAGACTTGGAGAGATTTGTAACTAGCACCTAAACTGAGCCTGGAAAGATAATTGTGATGAGAAGTGAAAATGGACTTTTGAGAAAGAGAGAGAAGCATGGGAGAAAAACCCTAAGAGAATACAACCAGGCCTGGCTTGGTTAGGAGAACTGTAACTGCAGCTTGGCTGGAGTATGAGGTTCAGGGGGGAAGGTGGCAAGAGGTGAGACTAGAGATCCGGACAGGAAGGTAGACAGGATCTGGATCCTAAAACGAAGTCCCTGATGGCAAGTTTGTAGCTTATTTTGAGTAATAAAAGAGCTATCAAAATTTTTTAAGTAAGGGCCAGCACAGTGGCTCACACCTGGTAATCCTAACACTCTAGGAGGCCGAGGTGGGTGAATAGCCTGAGCACATAGGTTCGAGACCAGCCCGAGCCAGAGCAAGACCTCGTCTCTAAAAATAGATGGGCGCTGTGGTGGGCACAATAGCCTCCCAGCTATTTGGGAGGCTGAGGCAAGAGAATCACTTGAGCCCAAGAGTTCGAGGTTGCTGTGAGCAATGACGCCATGGCACTCTACGGAGGGTGACAAAATAAGATTCTGTCTCAAAAAAAAAATTTTTTTTTTAAGGTAAGGATATACGTTGACCACTGTGTATTTTAGAAATATGAAAATGGTGGCAGCGTGAACTATATAGATTAGAAAGAGGTCTGCGGTGGTGACAGATTTGTGCCATTCACTCCTGTTTCCTAGCCCTGGATGGCTTATCCAAAGGTGACTGATCAGATGATATTAGCAATTTGAAAGTTGGATAGAGACACACAGAGATGAAAGATGATCGTCTCTGAGGCAATAGTGCAGTGTCACAGGCAGGAAGACTCTAAGCTCTATCTGCTGAAGACCTCAGAGCTGCCTGGATCTTGCCCTTCCTAAACCATGGTTATTCAGTTTTCCCTTCAATTCTGTGAGCTTTGGGCTTTTCCAATATTCTTTCAAGTACATCTTCCTCTTTTGCTTCATGTAGTCAGAGTTCATTTCTGTGGTTTGCAACCCCAAAAACCCTCTAAACGGATAGAGGTAGCAAGGTAGTGGCAGTGAAGAGGAATCAAAGGATGCCTGAAGGGTGTCAGCGAGGTTGGATCAAGAGGACTTGCTGGCTCGGCGCCTATAGCTCAACCAGCTAAGGCGCCAGCCACGTACACCTAAGGTGGCGGGTT